TGCCTTGTTTGAGCATGAATGGCTTCTTTCAAATGTCCTCAGTCATCTGGCTTAATTGTTTCATGGGGCACTAATAGAAAAATAACGACCCAGCCCATGCATCTGGGTGTGCAGCCGTGGGGGAGCCCCCCCCTGGCCCAAGTGCTCCACCGCCAGCCGGCTGGGGCTGATCTTTGAAGCCCCATTTCACCTGGGACCTCGTCCCCTCTCTGGAAACACGCAGTCTGCTAAATTGTGGAGAACTGGCTGATAAAAGGCTGTGCCTGGAGCCTGCTTCTTGAGTCTGCCGGGTCTGAGCCGGAGGCTTTTCAGGTTAAACATGAAGATCAACTCTGAATTATATCAAATCCTGGAGGCTTATCAGCAGTCCCTGATCCCTCCCTTCCGGCAGAGTTTTCATACTTTACATATTGCGTTAAGTCCGTAAGCACATCGCGAGATTTTGGGAATAATCAGGTCTGTCCGTAGCAAAGCCCTCGCTCAGAGCCCGTCCTCCTGCGGGGGAAACCTTCCTCCCCCAGCACCTCAGATGCTTTCCCTGGGAATCCTGTAGAGCAGATCCGAGATAACGGATCCCGGAGCTGCTTCCAGGCAGCGCAGGTTCCCCCTGTGCCGAGCAGCGTTGCTTCCCGGGTTCCTGATCCAGGAAAGCCCCGAGGGATGCCTGGAGCATCTTCCCCAGCTCTGGCTCGTGCCAGTCTGGTGCAGGAGCTGGAAGAGCCGAGGGCTGTGGTTAACCCCGGAGGGGATATGGTCCAGGTGATGGGCCAGATCCAGCCCACGCAGGCAGCGGGGTGGAATCAGCCGGGTTTGGAGATGGGGGAACGGGCCAAGCCGCTGGGGCTGGATCCCTGGGCTGTGTGGGGAGCACTCATCCCTGACCCGAGCCCTGGGATCTGCTCTGAGGGGGCTGGACCCCCTGGAGTTACACCTCTTCCCCTGGGCTCGTGCCGAGGGTGGTGGAAAACCTGCCCGAGGAGGCAGAGCGCCAAGCGGAGCGCTGCTGTGGGCACTCGGAAGTCAATATATTTATATTTTTGGTTTGCCGTGCTCCAGCGCCGGGTCTCTAAATACACTTTTGTGCGTTCTCTTAGCAACTCCTTCTCTCTCTTTTTATCTCTTTACCCAGGAAATGGATGATGGGCTCGACGAGGCGTTTTCAAGGTAATTCCAATAACTCCCTTTACAAGTTCACGCCACCGGGGACCAGCCTGGGAGACTCGCCTGGTGCCTGGCTTTTAATAACGCTCCTCATCTAATCAGCTGCCGGCATCTGACCTAGGCGGCTGCCCCGGCTGTTAGTTGAAAGATGGGCTTTGAGGCTGGCTGATAAGCCAAATATTTTGACAACCTTTTAAGGATGGAGAGAGGCTGTATGTGATAGGGAATTCAATTCCCTGAGCGTGTCCGCTCCTGGTGGTTTCAAGCTGCCTGTTTCCAGCCCCTGGGCTAGCTGCGGCGATGCTGGTCCCCGCTCCTGGCACGGGGGATTTACCCTTCATCACCCCTCCGTGGGGTTTGGACTAACCCTGGGACCTCGCTCC